CTCCTCTGCAAGAGAAATTATTTTCAGTAATAAGCTTCAAGTTAACACATTTTTATTATCTATACTTTAATAAACATTTTTATAGACATTACTCTGAAGAAATTCCAGGGAGTTCATACAGGTTAGAATCACTCAAGCTAGCTAGTGTATAATTTATGCCTCCCATTTCGGTAGCACAGAAATTGCAAAAACAAGGAAACAGAACAGAACTCTGTCATTTGATCATTACCGAAGGGTTTTATTTGTATTTTAAAAATTAAATCAGTAAAACAGAATGGCTGGAGAAAAACTCTTTGAAAATCATGCCTTGCGGAATTGGAATCCAGGAGAAACTCTTTAACTTTGGCAACAAACCCACGAAGCCAAGTTTACATGTGTCAGGGCACACGGTAGTATAGAGAGCATCTCTGTCTATTCATTTGTAGTACAGATGATATCTCTTTATCTATCATCTATCTGTCTAATCCTCTATCATCTATCAATCATTATCATTATCATCCCTCATCAATCAATCCATCGTCTCTCTATATATATCCATATATCATATATCTGCCCTCTGTCTATCAATTATCTATCTATCTATCTATCTATGTACCTACTATCTAACTATTTATCTACTTATCTGCCTATCTGTCTATCTTAGTTTGCTAGGGCTCCCATGCCACATGTCTCACCATGATGGAGGTTAGAATTCTGAGATCAAGGTGTCCACAGGTTAGTTCCTTCTGAAGGTTGGGAGGGAAGAAGCTATTCCAGCCTCTTTCCCTGGCCTACAGATGGTGATCTTCTCCCTATGTGGCTCCACATCACCTTTTCTCTGTAACTGTTTATGTACAACTTTCCTCATGCTTTTATAAGAACACCAGTTATATTCAATATCTTACCTTAATAATTTTATTTTAACCTAATTACCTCTGTACCTGATTGCCCTATATCCAAATACAGTTGCATTTTCATATATGTGAAGGTTAGAACTTTAACATATAAATGGGGGGAAGGCACACTTCGGCCCATAACACTGCCTACCTCTCTGAAGAGTAATGACAATGATTGTTAGGAACTTACATCAAGAAATTACAATTTTTTTTTTTGATCGAGTGCTTTATCACTAACATTAATTAGGATGGTCAGCATGTGAGGACAATAAAGAGCAGACCCAATATTTAGTAGGTTTTATTTTTGCTTTTCAATTCTTTACAGAGAGAGCCTCCTCCTATTGCCTATACCTGGGGAGGACCACTCTTACCATAAGCTCTTGGCACACACTGCCCAACCATAAGCATCAACCTCCATAGGATACAGATTAGACAGAGGAGTGGCAAGGAGTGGATCTGAAGGCACGCGGGCATGGATGGGCCAGCCATTTGTCCATGTGTATGATTGCTGTGTCTCACTTAGTCCCAGCCACTAGACCTTTTTGAGTCTGGCATGCTCTGTGCCCCTCTCAGGAGGGTAGGAAATGTTCTCCTGCTCCCATGGTGTTCCAGCTGTGGGGAACTTGGCAAGATTATCTTTTAGGCTGTCAGACTAAATACATCACAGAGATGTCCTTTATCCTCCAACACTGTGAGGTCACAGGGAATACTTCATCGACATCGTCAGCTCCACCTGAGTCAGGACACAGATAATTTCTGCCCTTGGATTCTCAACCTGTCTGAGAGTTTATTATTCCCCTGTGCCCCAGTCCCCAGGAACTGGACTAGGGAGTGGCCCCCAGGCCACTTCCCGGGACAAACTGATATCTAGACCCTCTAAACTCTGCTCCTTTATTATTTTACCTTCATCCGAAGAAATAATTTTATACTCTTAATCTTAAAGATAAACATGTTATTCTTGGCCCATGATCTCCTAAGAATCTATGCTTTTCATACTTAAAAGCCAATAACTGTCTTTACATTTCTGAATTCCATAGTTTCATCTCTTCTCTGGGGGAAAAGGGGATGCACAGTAGTTAAAACCTCAAACCATTGTGCTGTGTGTGTACTGTTTTTTGATCATTCCTCAGATTATTATCAAATCACAACTTAGTCCTGTTGTTGAATTCTTGATTTCTGCATTCTTAGCTGTGTGACTTGGTTGAGTCAGATAGCCTTGTATGTCTTAGTTCTTTGACTTGGCATCTTTTGGTAATGATATCTACACTAAAGCACATGGTGGTTACAAATATCAAAACAGCCCAACAAAATGCTTTTAAATACAGCAAGATTTTTTACAAATGAAAAAGATTATTGGTGTGCATTTGATTAAATATGTAAGCTAGGAAAGTATTACTCTCTTAAAATATCTTCAACCATGTGTGATTAAATAATATTCTGTGTTGTTAATTTTTTTCTATACTTATATTTTCCATCTTTCCCTCATGCCCATTCCAGAAGGTGGTCAGTAAAGCATTTCACTGAGTATGTAGAAAAATGGAAGGCAAAAGCAGTCTGGAAGAGTTTTAGTCTATGCATTTTGTTTCTGAAAACCTCTATGAAATTGTACAAAGTTTTTGACAGTGGAGAAGGAGAAGAAGGGTTACAGAGGTGACATTAAAACATTTTATTGGGAAGTAAGCATTTTCTCTAACACTGCTCATGAATAGCTGGTAACCAGGTCAGTGGGTCAAGTTCCTGGCTATGACTCTGGAAAACGATACCATAGATCAGGCATCCCCAAACTACGGCCCGTGGGCCGCATGCAGCCCCTTGAGGCCATTTATCCGGCCCCCTGCCACACTTCAGGAAGGGGCACCTCTTTCACTGGTGGTCAGTGAGAGGAGCACAGTATGTGGCGGCCCTCCAACAGTCTGAGGGACAGTGAACTGGACCCCCGTGTAAAAGGTTTGGGGATGCCTGCCATAGATCATCTCAACACCAGCTATATTGGTATTTTTCAAAGTTTCCCAAGCAACTCTAATATGCAACTAGAGTTGAAATGAACTGATTCAAATGGTCCAGAACAAAAGTCTCAAAAAAAAAATGGCCAAGTATGACAGATTTGAGAGTGCTAAGAAGTCCAAAAATAATCTGTGGGCAGATAAAATAGACATCTTCTCAGATACCTGCGGGGACTGATGATCATGGCCTGACCCTGGAAACCACCATGGAGCACAGCTTAGCCCTGCAGAAGTTGCCAAGAACTGCGTAATATGTGGAGAAGTATTCAAGAAGTTGAACTTCAGTTAAATTTTAGAAAATAAAGATAAATTTCTTGCACACCCGGTTTTGTAGTAACAAATGTGCATTCTTAATGCATCTTTAAATTCGTTGAAAATTAGTAAAATTTATTTTTGGTGTAATTGGAAAACTACTACAGCAGAGTGGAACAGGGAAAAATAATCTTTCCAAACCTACACATTGATTAATGAAAGGGCAAGCAACAAAAAACTTAGTTCCTGAAATGTTGCCACATATTCAATTATCTTACAATTGAATATGTAAGATAATATTATCTTACAATTGAATATGTAAGATAATATTATCTTACAATTGCACCAAGTGTTACACCTTTTTACTCTTTGATCCTCTGGCTAGCAGAATAACATACATCCCCATTTAGGCTGATAAATCCATTCTTGTAAAGCTAATTACTTCTAGGTGAGCCAATAGGTAAGAAAAATGATTCCATGACAACTTTTAGGTATATATCTTGCTTGTCTTGATGGCTTACTTATTTGACTATAAAAGACAAATCACTCTTTCCAACATAGCCAATATTAGGCCTTTCTGAATTGAGTCTGATTTAAAGAAATCTGAAGAAAAATTCATCTTAGTCACTGGTTTTCTTATTTTTATTGCTAATCTTTGAAGATATTTACACTTGTGTGATCTTAGCATTTAATATTACCAGTGTTTTAAATACAGTTTTATATTACCAGGGGCTTGACCTACTGATGTCTTGCTGGTGGTTGGCAGAATGGAGAGAAGTTTGGATGTTAACATCTAGTCTTGAGTTATCACTGATTTAATGTTTCAGAGTTACCAGGTGATCTTTTGAGGACAGAAATTCATTCTAATTGACCCCACAGCTAAATAGATCAACACCATTGTAATATGAAACTATTTTATTTTATTATAATAAGGATGAACATGCAATAAATATTTGGTGAATAAATTTAAGCTTCTCATTGCAATTATATACTCAAAATCAAATACTAGTTTATTACAAAATAAGCACAATATTTGAAGAGTTAAAACTGAGCTTATAAACATTGATTGACTCATAAGATCCAAGAGTTATTCAGTAGCAACCCACAGGGTGATCTTGCCTCATAAACACTCCCCACTCACTCTCACCCCACCTGACCCACCACACTTTTAACCCTGATATTGATATGTACACATGGGAAAGGAAAAATTGAGAAAATAATGCATGTAATTCAAGCAAAACAAAATACCTTCACCGTACCTATTTGTTTACTAGATAATACAAAAGAGTTATTCATCTTAGCCTGATTACTTGCCTGAATCATAACTTTGATTCTTCGAATTGCTTAGCATGTTTATACCTGTGCAGTGACTAAAGAATAAAACAAAGAATAGAAACCATTCCTTTAAACGCCCAAACTGCAATTCTCTAATTGGGACCGTATAACCTCTAGATAAGAATTGAGTGTTAATAGCCTTCTATTGATGTGCCTTATCAAGATAGATGCTTCTATTTGCTTGAGGTACAGATAATAGGCTATGAAAAATATTATTTTTTATTTATATTTTCCTTTAAACAAAAATTCTAGGTGAGTTTAACTGTATGCATTAGAGACCTTAAAATCTGTCTTCTTAATTGTCCTAAGAGAAATCAGAGCTCCCTTTTCACGGAAGTGTCTGATTTTTACTGTGCGAGTTTTCTAAAGGAACAAAGCCTTTTATTAGATGGACATTTTTATATTTTGACAAATCCCACTAAAAATTATTATTTGATATTTATAATTTTCCATGACAATCATTTTAAAACGATCATTACTTGGTTGTTAGTCTGCAGCATAAGAACAATGTAGAGGAAAAATAATAGGCTTTTAGAATAGATATGTTTTATTGTTATGGATTATCAGTTTCAACTTTAGATTCTTATCAGTTGATATATCATGGTCAAAAAGGAGTAGCCTTTCATTGTACACTTGCTAATGATGACGGGAATATTTGGTTTTTGAATTTGAAAATTGGAACGCAGATTGAGTCCAACAATAGTAAATACATTTAATACACCTGAAGTCAGAATTTCCAAGTAAGTCATTTTCATTCCTACCACCAGTAACAAATGGAAACTTTCATATCAATTTAAATGTAGTCATAAAGCAAGTTCTCCTGACTGAACATACTTACAGTTTCTAGCAAGACTTTCTAAAACACATTGACCATAGTCCATACTTGGAGCTGAAAGCAGGCATTAGACATAGCTGGTAGAGGTCTTACTAAGCATTGCCATGTTTCTTCGCTTATCTGTGTTTGGCACACAGTATCCAGGCACCGGATATCTGTGCCTTTGCTTCTTTCTGTTGCAGCAGCAAAATCCACAAAGCAGACCCCCTCCAATGAAGAGGACAGCAGTGCTTGTCCAGCCAAGGAAAAGTGCTGCTCCCAGCTCTCGTTTCTGACCTATGTGGATGGCTGGGTTGTAGAAATCTCTGATGATTATATTGGCTGTCCAGCTCACTGGAATCAGAACGAAGATGCCCGTCAGGATGAAGAGGACTCCTGAAGTTCCCAGAAGGTATGCTTTAGCCCTCTCATTAGAGCCCGTGCACTGGACCTGCTTCATGCCACAGATGCCAATAAGTAGGGCAATCAAGGAGAGAGCAACAGCCAAACACATGAGTGCCCGGGCTGTTTCCAGGGCAGGTGGAAGAGCCAACAAGGAACTATAGAACTTGCATTGCAACCTGACTCTGGCTTGTCGGATGCAGTTCATCCAGAGGCCTTCCCAGAGCCTCTCAAAGACAATAATGTTGCTGCCAACAAAAGCTGATACTCTCCACTGAGGCAGAAGGGTTGTGGCAAGAGTCCCCACCATGCCGAGGAACCCAAGAACCAGCCCAGCAATTTGCAGGGGATAAAATACCATTGTCTTTCCTTTGAAGACTGGTCCAATTCGGAGTGGTAGAAGATGGTCACGATGCAGAACGTGGAAGGCTCTTGAGTCTAGAGAACTCTTTGATGATGTTCTCCTTGGTTGGTGCCCATAACGTTTTAGTCCAAATCAGTGGCTGTGACTGAACTTGGCCTAACTAGAAGTTCCTGTTGTAAGTGCACGTTGCCTTTCTTCACACACATTCATTTCTGTATGGATTATTTACTAGTCATATATAATTGTTTCCCAGCCAATAAGAAGGTAGCTAGAGGTGTGTCAAGAAATACTGCATTCAACTTTAGGATTTATCATATTATTGTCTGAGTAATGCTGTAATTAAGTGTCAAAGCTTCCATTGTGGATTGCTAATTACAGAGCTGAAAATTCCTGTGTAAAAATCACTCCGATATAAAAGTATAAATATATGTGTTAAGGCACAGCTGAAGACAATGTCAAAACCTTGTCAATTTATTGGAGAGTAATTAAAAAGCATTTTGGACTTTAAACTATTACTTTTTTTCTAGCGTAAGCCACTTTTCCTTAACATGCGAAACAATTCTGGCTTTAATAAAGATGTCTCAATGGGGAGAAATGTTTAGGTGTTAGTTTCAAGACCCATTGGAGCTATTGATACTTAGGAGGAGCCCTAAGCCAGAAATTCACATTTCATAGTTTATTCTTAAGATCCAGAAAGGAAGAAAATAGAGAAGCACTCCTTATAATTAATTTGAATGAACTGTTAATTATTACATTAACTATTAAGTAACATCTCTCTCTCTCTGTTGAAATGTTTAGTATGTAAACTTTCATTCAATACTTCTTCAATGGCAGCTTGAAATATATCACATTTATTAAAGTCAAACATGTATCTTTCATTTTTATAGAGCAATATAAAAGTGGTCCTTGAAATTGGCTATGCAATCGCTTAAAATTCAGATATTAGAGAACTTTTTGGTGCTAGAAGTTGTCTTCAAGGCCATCAAATTTAAGACTCTTACATGCCAGATGAACAGGAGGCATGTGAAGTGTTTGGCTCAGACAAGCCATGTGGTAACTGATCCAGGAACAAGCCCAGGCCTCTAACTCACGATGCTTACCTCCTCTGTCTAGTGTGATTCAAGAACAGGAAGGAGAGACGCATCTTCCAATCTTTTCGTGTGAGTGGGACTAAACCTAGTGAACATTTAACACTATACTTTCCACAGTTTTTCAAATCGTTTTCAAAGGAAGCAAAATTCAACTGAGATTATTTCAAAACTGGAGTCAAGTTGTAACTTTTGACTGCCACTTTCCTGCCACTCCCCAGAGGTGGCAGGGAGCTGCATATGGGAGAAGTGGACCTTTTTTCTTTTTCTTTTACATCCCACTGTCATTTTAAGTATGAAAAACACTCCAAAGCAAGCACACCAACCACATTCCAGGTGGGGAGATACTACAGTTTGCCAAATGTCCTCCATCTCAGTTAATTACAGGCCAGAGATTTAACGGGTGGTCCAATGACATCCAGATTTGAAGAGTCCACTCACTGAATTAACGAACGTGAAAATCACTGAGTTTTCAAAATGATTGGTCTGAGAACTCCCTCTCTAAGGCATGTGAATCATTGAGCAAACAGATGACTTCTGTGTCACTAATAGTTTCCCAACACTAGATTGGACGAAGAGTTTTCTTTGCCCTTTGTTCACGGTTACTGAGACATAGACTTAACCATTCCCTCCCTGACAGGATTTTCCAGCATCACTCTGACTTGTTACGTATGGGTCCTCTTCCTCATTCTAATTCTTCTTCATCATTCTATCTCATTTATTTTCCTATGTTCATCTTGTCCTGGAAGTTTCCAACTTTTTTTCTCAATTATTTGCTTTCTCGTTAGCTAGAGCATATTATCTGTATTATAAGTAAACATAAGTGAAACATATGTTTGTTTAAGATATGGAGATATCTCCTAAATGTAAAAATAATCTGAGGCTGGGTATGGTGGCTCACATCTGTAATTCCAATACTTTGGGAAGCTGAGGCAGGTGGATTTCTTGAACCCAGGAGTTTGAGACCAGCCTAGGCAAATAGAGACACTCTGTTTCTACAAAAAATAAAAATAAAAATTAGCTGGATGTGGTGGCACACACCTGCAGTCCCAGCTCCTCGGGAGCCTGAGGTGGGAGGATTGCTGAACCTGGGAACTCAAAACTGCAGTACGCTGTGATTGCTTTATTGCACTTTAAACTGGGCAACAGAGTGAGACCTTATTCCCACTCCCCCCTCAAGAAATGAATAACCTGGAAAACATAAATAATGAAGGAGCTCTTGGTCTTTGCCTCTCGCAGACAAAGCCAATTGTTAAAAATATTTTAACCTTCTCTCCTTTGTATTAGGGGAAGATACTGCATTTCTCTCCAACCTTTCTATGAATCTCAACCCCTTTCTACCTCCTCAGTGGGCCTTGCTCTATTGATCATCCCCTCCCTTCATTGTACTGACACCTTCTCCCTCTCTCTGAGTTGTCCCTTAGAAAATAAACATACTTGGTTTTCTTCTATTTTAAAACTCCATCTTGGTACATGTACACCATGGAATATTATGCAGCCTTTTAAAATAATAAAATCCTGTCTTTTACAGTAACATGAATGCAGCTGGAGGCCATTATACTAAGCGAATTAATACAGGAACAGAAATCAAAGTCTCACATGTTCTCACTTATAGGTGAGAGCTAGACATCAGATACACGTGGAGATAAAGATGGTAACAACAGACACTGGGGACTACTAGAGAGAGAAGGGAAGAGGGAGATAAGGGTTGAAAAGCCAGCAATTTTGTACTATGCTCACTATCTGGGGGATGAGCTTATTCACACCCCAAATCTCAGCATCAGTAAAAATCTTGCACATGTGCAACCTCCACCTCCAGGGTTCAAATGTGTGTGCCATCTGTAAAATAAAAGTTGAAATTATAAAAACTTAATAGAAATACATAAAAATAATAAAATGCAATAAAACGAAAGTTCTTCTTGCAAGACCTGTATTCCTTGCCATGTATCTCTACACATCTTCTGGCCCTCTCTCACATTTCCCACTGCTACACACATTGAAATCTGCCTTGAGTCATCATGCTACCCACAAAAACTTTCCTAGAAATATTATAGACTTCTTGGACATCCTAACTACTATCTTTTCAAAAACGCTTCCATATTTCTGATTATTGTTTCAGTAAAGGTTGTTTCAGTAAAACCACTATCTTCCAATGGGAGACAGTGAAGGGCACGTGATCTGGAGAGAGACTTGTTTCAGTCTTGGCTTGATGCCTTAGCCATTCATCTTGCGCATGTTTCTGAACCCCCCCAAAAGTGTTTGTTCTATGAAATCGGGATAATAATAACATCAAACTTACAGGGCTGCCTTGACGATTAAATGGAATATGTGCAAAGAACCTGGTCCTGAGCAAACATCCAGGAAAGATTTTCTGTTAATATTTGTCTCCTTTGTTTTTGTTGCATTATCATCCTTACTAATTCTCCACCTGCACATTCTCACTCTTCTTTCTCTACGTGCCCTTTGCCATGTTTGTTTTCTTCCAGACTTCTGATATACCTCAATAGTCTTCTTACTCAGCACACTCTGCCTAAGGCACCTCACCTATGTCTGCACAGCATTGTCTACCTCCTGTCAGACTACAAGTTCTGAATTTGTTGTCTTTGACCCAAGCCTGTTTTTGTTGGTTACCCTCCACTCATTTTTCTCTCCTATTCTTTAATAAATATGTGCCTATAGTAGACACTGTGATGTTTCATGCAGATGTCTATTCCAGCTTCTTAGCGTGCTGTGGGCCAAAAACCCTCAGCTCTCAGCCTTATTCTGGTATTAACTAGAACTAGACATATCATTCAAACTATTTCCCATTCATAGATGCAGCCCATATCTAGTGACTCATCAGTATGGTCCTGACTGCTAGCCCTCAAGGGTAGGGTAGACAGGGATATTCTAGCTCAAGAGCTCACTATGTGGTCAGCTACGGCCTTCATTAGCTCTGCATCCCAACTAAACTTCTCTGTATGGCCAATCCTCCTTCTTCCCTTCTTTTCTTCAGATGTTGATCTCATAATAAACATAATGCACACTAATCTCTGCCTCAGAGTCCCATGCCCAGGGAACCCAACCACTGATTAACATCTTATTCAAATGGATTAAATATGTTTCCTGTTTCATGCTCTGTCTTAGTTCAGCCCCTTGACATTCCTTACCTGTACCATTTCAAGAATGTCTTGCCTAGTCTCTTTGCCTCTGCCCTTCCTTACTGCTTTCTGATTCAGACATTCTATTGAAGAACCATAAAACCTTGCTGAATCAAACTCTCTACATGCTACCACCTTACTTAAAATTTTTCCTTATTTATTGCCTATAAAATAAGATCCAAATTCCTTAGCATGGCGCAAGAGACAAATTTTTGAATGATCCCTGTCCAACTTTAAAACTTAGCCTCTGACTGTGATCCATTCCATGTCTTCATGGAGTTTACATTTTAGTGAGCATGATAAATACAAAACATGCAATTGCCAAAATACATGTTATTAAAAATTAAGGTATAGCTATGCTTAAAAAATATAGGGTATAAGCAGAAATGATTTTAACTTTAAGGGTTCTCTGAAAGAAGGGCATTCTGATGAAACAAGATTTAAAGTGCAACCTGAAGCTTGAGCAGGAATTAGCCAGATATTCAGCAAAGAGTAAGAGAAAGAGAATTCTGGGCACAAGAGACCATGCGGGTGAAAGCACTGTAGGCAAAGAGAGCTTGGATCTAATGCAAATGAGAGACTGAGCCAGAGGAGGGTGAGAGAATTGAGATGAGGATACAAATGTAGACAAGGTCCAGAAATGCAAAGCCACGTGAATATGTAATAATCTCTTAAGAGCAATGCAAATCTGTTTAAAGATTTTCAGCATGATCAAGACTCAAGTCTGCTTAAAAACAAAACAAAACAAAAAAAAAAACAACAACAGAAAAACACCAACCACTAAAACAATATGAATATGGCTATTTTGGAGAAATTAATTATAAAGAACAAAACTGAATACAAAGAAACCAGTTAGAAGGTTATTGCAATAGTCCAAGTGAGAGATTATAGAAGCTAGATTAGAGTAGGGGCAACGTAGGGGGTGGATGGACTTACATTATATAAAGGAA